GCTTGCTCTGCATTTCAAATAAGATTTTCACTTCCCCTTTGGGTTCTGAGTGTAAGGAGAGTAAGTGTCAAAAGGCAGGCGCCTTCCCAGCTCTAACAGAGAGAGTGCAGCCATGTGGAACGTGCATCTCGATTTTGATTGTAAGGATGATGAAATCAAACCTCTCCTTAATACTCAGTCGGAAACATTTGGGTAAATTAGCCTGCCTGCTGTTGCTGACGTGTTAAAATCCCTTTGAATGAGAAACGTCTATTTAGTGTCATCAAAAATATCCATGTACTTTGCCATGAGTCCAAGAGAGCAGTGGGCCATCGTTCAGAGTGGTCTCAAAGCAATGAAAAATGACAACAAAATGAAAATAGATAAAACCACATACATTCTGATCCTGGAGAAAACACAGTGCTGTACAATGCACAACTCTTTCCAACGCAGCCATTTCTAAGCTAGATGCTTAGTCATTACTAATGACAGCATATTCCTATAGAGCTGCTCTATTTTGGGAACAACTGCAAGTGCAACTTTGCTTCTTCCCCACCTTAGGGTTAATTACAATAATGTGCAGTTGCCTGTGTACATTGCAGTCTCTCTGCATGCACCACTCTCAGTATTTTTGGAACAAGTGAGGAAGTTTATTCCAGTTATATCATTCAAGGCAAGCAGTAACTTGAACTTGAGAGTAGCTCCTTGTTCACATTGTCCGGCCATGCTGTGCAGTGCTGGAGGCTCTGGATATTACTGCTGCCTTACAGAGGGATTTGGCACGAGCTCATAGAATGACTGAGACTTTTTTTCTTCCCCTACAGCCTCCTTAATTTCATTCCTTGGGTGTGTGTCAGTGCTCCCCCACTTGTGCACATGAATATCTTTAAGGTTGAATTGATTCCCTAAAAAAAGCAGAAGTATTTGAGGAGTGCTTTATAAATAACGAAGGAGAACACCTCGCTCATTCTTGTCATTGCTCAGATTTGAGCAAGCAGCTGCTCTGGTAATGGGGCGTCCCAAAGTGGATGCACTGAGTCCCAGGGCAGGGCCCTGCATCGCTTGGTGGTGATACCTAAATGTCCGGAGGCCAATGGGAAAGCATCCCATTCAGCAGCTGAACTGATAGATGAAGGTTTGAGTGAAGCAACGGGAGCAGAAAGTGATGTTTCCAGGATGGAACAAAGCAATCCTCCAACAGTTCTGCCTTCACAAGCTCCAGGCTTTACAGCTGCTGGTGTCCACGTGTGTCCCACTTCAGTTCAGGCACTCGCTGGGTTCAGTCTAAGAGAAAAGTGGGCAGGTTCTTGTTCTGGATGTGTTTTGCTGCCTCGTCTGCATGAGGGACCTTCCTTGGGGCATCCCCCATTAAACTTCAGTGGGATAAATGCTGGCCAGGCAGTCTCAGTCAGCAAACCCTTGAATCTGTTTTACTCTCCCAGGGTCACTCCAGGCTGAGGTCCTCCATAGGGAAAAGGAGGGAGTGCTCATCTGCAGGGAAGAAGGAGCTCTGAAGCCCTTTCACAGCAGTGGTGCACAGTGCACATGTAAAAAACTTCTTCCGCGATCCTCGTGCCCATAAGTCTGTCCCAGCTGCAATAATTATACCAGCAATATGCAGCATCGCTGGCATCACCAGCTTGCTCCTTTTGATACATGAGTGAGCACAGTTGCTGTGCCCCAGGGAATCATAGAATCACAAGGTTGGAAAGGACCTACAAGATCATCTAGTCCAACCGTCCTCCCATCACCATCACTACACTAAGCTATTAAACCATATCTCATAGAAGCCGCATGAGAACAATTTTGTGGTCGTTTGAGACTAGCAGCAGGAGTAATGGTATTTCTCCAGCTTGCCAATTACTTGTTCTTTTCTTTCTGTCCACTGCTGGAGTTCTTGATCTCGACTAAGGCATTATTTAATTCCTACTTTTCAGAGCCCCTGTGCTGGGGCAGGCATAATGGCCTTGTGTTTGGGCACTAGCAGGGTGCTTTCAGCAAGCTGATTTTCTGTGGAGCTGAAAGTGACTCAGCCTGAGCAGTGCTCTGTTTCTCCTCCTCTCCTCCTGGGAGGGAGCAGACTTCACAGGTAATCTGGAGGCACGCTGATATGCCTTTCAAGTTATTACCCAGGAAGTTTTTGCTCTTTCCGAGCACTGAGCAGTGAGTTGCTGACGGCTGTTGGAAGCAGTGAGAAAGGATTCACAAAACAGACAGAGCCTTGCCTCCGATTTCTGCAGACTGGAGCTGAATTTAATGGATAAATTGTGTTGCTGGGGAGATTTTGACTCTGTTCCCTCCTCTGTCACCAGTTTGCCTTGTGATTTGTGGCAGCATTTTCAGCTGTGCCCATCACATGAGATCAAAACCCATGAGTCAGACTCCACCCAAATCATGAGCCTGGCTTCCAGATCCAGGAGCTCTGAAAAGAGATCATACCGTACTGTGTCTTTAGTTTATCTTTCCTTTCTGGAATTTCCTCCATGTATTCCCAGCGTGTCTCTAGCAATTAATGTCTTCAACTCTTTTGGAAGGGCTGGGGGTGCATTCTGACCATTCGGTGCTGTTGGAAGCCTCGTTTGACTGACACAATTAGTTTTGCTTTTGATCTCCAAATGAATCGTATTTCTTCCAGACTCCACATCTTTGCCATGTCCCCAGTGTCCTCCATCCCTCAGCCTCACACGACCCATCGCTGCCATCCAACCACTCTGTGTCCCCTCTTTGGCCTGGAGAGGGTTTTTCAGCGTTGCCTTTCATGATTGGGAGAATGCAAAAAGACACAGATCTGTGTAATCTTTAACCTTTCTGTGAGAATACGTAATTGGAGAGAGCAGGGAAACGCTCTTCCTGAGTCTCTTTCCTGAAAAGGTGAAACTTGTAGCACAGGAAAAGGGTGCGGAGGACAGGCAGTGCAGTTTCTCTGTTCAGGATGGGGGACCTTTGAGTTAGGTGATAAAAGACCCCTTTGCTCACGATTATTTGCAGGACTTGGCAAACCAGCGTTTTTGATTCCTTCAAAGGGAGTCAGGTGAGGAGTGAATCAGACTCAATGGAGTTACAAGCCAAAGTAAATCCAGAGAACGTAAGTTGAGAGTCAGCCCTTCTGTCTGCCCTGTTTTGCTCTCTAATTCAGTGGCCGATCTGTTTTTCTTCAGATTTAAGGTTCATAATATATTGTTTGTAGGCTCTGTTGGCTGACTCCATTGTGGAGCATATGGGTAGAATGAGGCGGTGAAAAAGCCAAGGGGAAATTTGGTGTCGTATCACTGTTTTCCCCTATAGCATTTGCCTCTTTTCAGGAGGGTAAGAAGTTACAACTTCTTGGCAAGGTTTTATTAAGCCAAAGCCAAATCAGTAAATGTAATTTGCAGTAATTATTGCATGCAACGCTGTGGTGCCTGGTATTCCCATGGTAGCATTGCCATTGTTTTACCATGAAGTCTGGAGATCAGAGCCAGCTGTTTGACTAAGTTACGCAAAACGAGTCTACTCGCACCCCAGGCAGACAAGAAAATGCATCTTCCCTTGCTCAGCTTCACACTGTACCTTCACCCATGGAGTGTGCAGGTTCCTGCACATGCTGTGTTCCAGGCATGTGGCCAGTCCATAAAGTCAGATAGAAGTGCAGCTGAGCCACGTATCTCTGGAGTCGGACAGCTAGGAACTGAGTCTGAGCCCAGAGAAAAGCTCTTTACCTAGGCTGAAACCCTACCATGAGCTATCTCCAAGACTTCAACCCACACTGTCTCCATAGTTTGGTAAATCTGGAAATTTGTTTTTAAACACGGGATTATCAGAAGCTGTGTTGAAGATGTGAGGAAGATGCACGATGCCTGCCAGGAAATCTTTCAGCTCAACTTTTCATATGCAAGTTGTAGCAAGCGGACACATCTCAAAGTGTTTCTTGTTGTGCTGTATTTCAATACACTGTAGTAATTAGAAATGATTCCTTCTTTAAGACAGAGAAATGCTACCTCACAGCTTGAATATTAAAAAGATAAAATTTGTGAAAACAAACAGAGTAATGTGATATTTTCTCCAGAGGAAAAGGCCATGTGTTTTCCTGCCTGTTTCATCAGCCATTTTCAGACACACACTGTGTGCATAAAGTGCAGTTATGCAACCCACATGGGTCAACAAAGGAGGGTTGGTTGCTTCACGAGGATTATAAGAATCTTTCAAACACAATGGTACCACAAATTAAAACGGAAATCTATCAAAACCATTATCGTCCTGAAAGCTTTGGCCACAAGTGTAATTACTCTAGAGGGATGTTGTCCTTGGACACAGCTTTGGCAAAGTTCTGCTGGTGTTATTTGTAGCCCTCTATGGCTCAAAGTCAGAACTTGCATGGCTAAGGACCATAAATTTTTAGAGGCAAGAAACAGGCTATTTCCTCAGTGCTAACACTAGCAGTTTTTTATTGTTTTGTAGTGGTTTGTAGGCAACTCATTAGGTGCTAGAGATAGGAACAGACTGAATGCGGTGGCTGAAGTCTGCCTTGAACTTTGGAAGGATTCAGACACAGATTTCTGTCTGGATGCAGTTGTTTGTGTCTGAGGCTCTTGCTTTACTGGACATGAACAAGAACGATCAAATGTTAGGAGTGTTTGGGCTTAAATCCAGTTCCAAAAGTCTCCTGCATTGATATGCAGTCCACAGACTTAAACAGAAGACCTACTCTGAGTTCCCTAGCATGCAGCAGGATGAAAGTAATTGAACGTACGTTCAACATACAGTGCAAAGAAAAATGCAGTCTTCTGGGTGCTGCTCGCCATAAGCAAGGGTCACAACTTCTGCCCCCAGGAGAAACACCAGGTTACCTTCTCAAGCTCCAGATGAAGGTGGAGTCCTGGAGTAACTCTGCCATTGACCTGAAGACGAACTACATAAAATAACAGGCACTGTACATTAGTTTTGAACTAGTTATTTCTTTTCCAGTACCCGATTTTCCATCTTGAGGGAGATGAGCAGTGAACATGTTTGGACACTATTTTTCCTCTCCCTCTTTCCCTCAGGCCGGTATAGATGGAGAAAGCATTGGGAACTGCCCATTCTCCCAGCGTCTCTTCATGATCCTCTGGCTCAAAGGAGTTGTGTTCAACGTCACCACTGTTGACCTGAAAAGGTAAAAATTGCTTGGTTTTATTGAAAATAGTTACATGATCCAGTGTTTTCCCAATAGAAAGGCCCCAGTAAGTTCAATCAGATTGGTATCTGGCCTAGAGAGCCTGTGGTGCACAACAAAATAGTTGGGATTCAGGTTTGTTATTCCTTTTTTCACTTGTGGAATGTTTTTATATTAAACAGAGTGTTCTGGGGTATTTTAAAAGCATCCTCACCACAAACTGCTGAAGAAAAAGAAGGGCAAGCAACTGATTTTGCATGAACTGTGAATATCTGTGCAACTACCTGACCATAGAGATTAACGATTTCGTGACCTTTCTTCTCTGTGCAGAAAGCCAGCTGATCTACACAACCTGGCTCCTGGAACTCACCCACCTTTCTTAACTTTTAATGGAGAAGTCAAGACAGATGTTAACAAGATTGAGGAATTCTTGGAAGAGACTCTTGCACCTCCAAAGTAAGAACTTGAGTGTTTTTCAGTCAATATTCCATTTCCTAGGAATGAAAGTTGTCCAAAGAGGAGTTCCTAAAAAGCACTCGGTCCTGCAATCTTTACTTACAGGAGTAATATTTATTTATGAAACTTGTTGGCTTCTGTGAGATGACTTCCATGTGTGAAAGTTACTTGTGTGACTAATAACTGCAGAATGTTTTCTCTGAACACATTTTGGGATGCCATTGTATACAGAATTAAGGAGATGAATACTAAAAAAAAAAAAATCATAGGGGTCTGGTGTCCACATTTTATAGAACTAAAAATAACTTGGACTGGATGCAGAACATTGCCACACACGGTATCTGTGCCAGGAAAAGCGTTTTGCTGTGAAAAACTGAATGGTCCTGAGCTCTTCCAACAAAAAGGTTGGAAGAGGAACTGATCACAGAACACAAGGAGCTCTGGAGGCAGAGAACTGCTCATTAGTCTCATCAAGAAGTGACGAGAACCCATGGCTGGAAGTTATAACCGTACTAATTCCAATTAGCACAGATGTGTTGGTATGAATGAATAACCATTGCAACAAACTACTGAGGAAAGTGTCGGATCGGATTCACCAGACATGCCTCAGTTAGTCAAGCTTTTCGACTTCATACAAGGATAGTGTAGAAAAAGGTTGTTGGCTTGTGTTTTGGACCTTAAAATCTATGAATCAATGAAAATTGGCTCAGTTCCTTACAGAGTGTTTTACCTCCGACTGAACCAGCATCTGTGGGCCAGTCCTGAGGCAAGCAACCAGGTATTTAATTTTCTATATGCTAATCCAAAACCACCAAAACCAGTAGGAGTCATTAGTTTGCGTTGATCTTTCAGATCAGTGTATTCCTTTGCACTGGGTGTCCACAAAATAACAATTCAGAGACTGAAAACATTATGTTCCTTCACATGGGTGATGTTAACACGCCTTGCTGTTACATCCTGGCACGCATTTCCTTGCAGGGAGTTAGACACGACTGCTACTCATAATAGAGAGAGCTGGTTGCCAACCTCCCCTGCACTTTTCTGGAAATTTATGCTTCCTTTCGATTTAAGGCCACTATATGTTGGATCGTGGTCACATAAAGCATCAGTGTAACTACTTCTGTCATGAAGCCATCCCTGTGTAGCTATCCAAATCTCTGCCTTGACAGACACAGATACTATGAAGAAGGTCTTGCCAGGCTGTTGTTTTGAGATAAATGATACTGTTAATTGCAGGGCTTTTTTTTTTCTTCCCTTTTCTTTCTTCCTGTAAGTAGTATTCGTAGTCATCACGATGCTGCTGGTAATAAGATGTTTCTCCTTTCAGGTATCCCAAGCTGGCTGCTAAGCACCGGGAATCAAACACTGCTGGAATTGATATCTTCTCCAAATTTTCTGCTTACATCAAAAATACGAAGCAGCAGGACAATGCTGGTGAGTAGGATTGTTACCAAACGCACCAGGAAGGTTTAGTGTTTAAAAGATGAATAATTTTACTATTTGCCCCTTGTTTTATTGTAAGCTGTGTTCATATGACTTCAAGTACTGCTGCTGGTCAGACTCAGGTGGTAAATTCAATGGACTCAATTCATTTGTCCACAGTTGGATTAACTACATCTATACTAGCAAACAAAATAGATCAGAGAGCCATGGCATAGCTCCTGGCCATGGCAGCCAAGCTGCACCAGTAATCCTGTATTCCATTTTGGATGGGTCTGGTGGCTTGTGCTACCTTCTCTACTCTATCCAGGCACTGTTCAGGATGCTAGTTAGTTGGCCAGTGGTGGTGCTAGAGACAGTACTAAAAGCTTAGCAACTAGTGACTCATGAATGAAAGGAGAGAGCAAGCCATGGCTCTTGACCTGCATGATTTCTTAGATTAGCCACTGACACCAGATTCTCATCCTGCTTACAGTGATGTTATGGTAGTGTAGCTAATTTGCTCATATAAACAGAAAGTAATTGAATGAAAGAAGTGGCTTTGAGAAATGTAATTGCACTCTGCATGCTCCTGACTTTCCACACATCTGCGTCAAAAGAAATAACCACGGAAGCTGGATGCCATGCATATTTACACGCATCCTACACTCGCTTCTTAATGAAATTGCTTTTCTTCTCCACATTCCTTTCTCCTCAGAGGCACAACTTCATCCAGTCTAAGTTCCCACTGCTCCATGAAAGAGAACGGATTTACACAGTCATATCCCTGGAGATAATCTAGCCGGATACTTGCAGTCACTCACTGATGTTCATCTTACCTCGTATTACTAATTTCACAGAGACCTAAGGCATGCTAAATACCATTCAGAGAGGAGTAGATTTGCAGGTTCCAGCTCTGCCCCAGCTTTCATTTGTGCACTTATATTTCATTGCCTGGGGCTGGCTCATGAGATGAAGATGGGGATGATTTATGTCAGATTACAATCTGCTCCTTAGTATTTTTTTTGGTGTTAACAAAGAAAATAATTATAACACTTCACTTCTTAGAGATGCTAAAAGGTTTTTTTGTGTGTGTCTAACACCAATGGGATGCTCAGCTAACCTCTGTAGGAAGGCTTGTAAAAAGAAGATAAATTAAGAGTTAGCCTAAATTGATGCTACTCTGAAAATAAAATATTTTGGCCATCCAAAAGGAATCTTTATGGTCTGTGGTGCAGCCCAAATTCAGCTGCTCTGTTCTTTGCACTCGAAAACTGTCATGGGTGTTTGCCCACATGTAGAATGCTGGCATGGTGGTTCTCAGTGGCTCTGCAATGTGCAGATCCTGCTCTGATGTAGGCTGGCAGCTCCCACTGGTATTTAATGGCAGTGACACCTGGACATCTCTGAGCTCAGCTCTCCTCTTTGAAGTGGAGAAATGCTTCATTTCTTTCAGCTGAAGCGGTAGAGCACAAAGAGGACAGAGCAGAGATGAGCAGAGTACTGACCTGTTCTTTGTAGCTGAAGTGGCTGAGGGCCTCAGGGAGCCTGGGGCTGTGAGAACACACCATGTGGGATCTCAGCTGTAGTAAGGTCACTGACTTTCAGTTTTCAAGAGCTGAGTGAGAATAGTGTTTCCCTTATCCCGAGGACATTTTCATTGAACTATCCTTTCCAGTTCCTCTGATCCTTCTTTGGAGAAAGCCCCTTCCCTTAACTCCATGTGAGTAGTTAAGGTCTAAAAGGAACAGAGATTGCTGCTTGTGGCTCTCATGCATTTCCTATACACACCAACTCTCAGCTCAAGGTAGTGGCACATGCCTCACAGCCATGCTCTAAGTTAGCCCAAGCTGCAGGTGACTCAGGTTCTTGGGTAAAGCTGGAAATTCACACCTTTATCTGGGACATCAGTTGCAAAGGGTCGAAGTACAAAAACAGAAAAACACTTGTTGACAGAACCAAAACAGAACGGAGAACCTGTATCATTGCATCAAAAGTAATTGTAGTTGCTTTTGCTTGGGAGTAGGAGAGTGCTGGATACCAAGTTGCCTAAGTCAGGTTGTTTAAATGATATTCTCTGAGATTGGAAGTCAGGGAGGTGGATTCACCAGTGTGGGATATCAGGCTGGGAATTTGTAGGATCCACTGATCTCTAGCTGTGAGAACTCGGGATAGCTATAGTTATATATTTCTCGTGGCATATTGGGTTAGGAGAGGTCATTAGGACTATGTAACATGAGCTTCTATGGAAAAATGTTGTGAACTGGTTGGAATCATTAATGAGATTTATGCAGTGGAAGAACACTGGATGTGAGAGTCAATGACAGCCCAGCGCACACCCAAGATACGCCCCAAATGGTGTTTCTGCCAGAAGTGTTTACAGCTGCAGTCATGCAGCAGATCAGACACCAAGCAGTGCCGTCCCTTAACCGTGTTGTGGCAGAGGGGTGGTGAGGAGGCAGTGGCTATGGAGTCTGTAGCCTTTAAGTACTGCAATGATTTTTTTTCCCCTGAAAGTGGAAATGTTATGAAAAAAAAAAAAAAAACAACAACGAGATTTGTATTATCTTTGTTTAGTTTCTTGAATTCTTGTGTGTAAGTGAGCAAACACAATGATACATACATCCGCTTGTTTCTAAGATTGTGATACCCTCTGCTGGCAAATATATGAATACTTAAAGCAAGAAGCTTTACGGTCAAAGCTGAGACATCCCCTGGACAAAATAGCTTTCCTTCTGACCAGGTGTTTTTCTCTTTCAATTGCAGTATTGTCAAAAGAGAAGCATTCAGGGTAGTCTATTGATTTTGACAATGTTTTCATGGAAAGTTTTGTGTTTTTTCTGGATGAGCTAAAATTGTTTAGAATTCTTCAGCGTTATGAGAATAACAGTACATTTTTTTTTTTTTGCTGGATTCGTGAAGTACTTTATTAGCCACATGCCCATTATGTTTCATACCTGGCACAGAAGCAGGTGATAACCTTCTTGGGTAAGCCTGCATGGCAATATGGTATTGATCACGATTCGTTTACTTACTGAAGGTATTTGGCAGCCAGGCTGCCCTGTTTTAATAGTTCCCTGAATTTCTGATGCTTTTTTTCCATCTTTGTTTTGCTCACATTTCTGCCTTATAATATAAAAACGTTGAAAGGTTTGGAACGGGCTGGCTAGGGCTGTAAGCCCAGAAGCAAACATGCTCATGCCATATCAAAGTCCCACCACTTTTAAGCTTCTTGAAAGGGAATGAATTGATTCCAGATCCTCAGGATGTGGCAAGCTGTGTTTAAAAAAAGTGTGTGCATTTATTATTTCAAGTCACTTCAATTACAACTGGCTTGATTCCTTCCACCCCCCATGTCACCCGATAATTTTATAACAGGCCTCTCTGAAGGAGCGATGGTCTCATCGTAGGCGTAGATCCACATCTGGCTTAGATAGCACAACTGGGCTATTCAGCCCTCCAACCCCAGCACCAGACTTTGCTGCTTGGAACACTGAGAAGTTCTTATGCACCTCATGGCTGCTGCAAAGAGCCCTCGGAACAAAGCAGTGACAGTCCTCTTCGTTGATCTCCTGGATGCTCTTCCACAGGTTTAGGTTGCTCAGGCTTGTGTGACTAAGCTGAGAGTTTTGGGTTGCTTTGTGCTTAATATCTCAAAGACCTTGACCGAGCACAAGGATGGAAACCACAGCCCTGGGAGTTTACTTTGGTTCCTTTTGTTGATGCTGAACAAATCACTCCAGCTCTGTAACAAAACCAGAGTAGTAACAGTTTATCGACTCATTGGAGGAGGATGCATTTTAATTAATTGGAATGCTATGTACAAATTCAGTATGCCTCCTGTGACTTTTTTTTGCTGTATACTGCAAACCAAGGGGACAGCCCATAGCCACCACCCATTCACCGTTCTGCCTAAAATCCTAAGTTCTTTGGCTCGCAGAATGAGCCCTTTGATTTCATTTATGAGTTTAAAAAGTTGTTCTTGAATGGAGTTCTTAGGAGTCACCAGCCCAGTGTGGGTGGGCGCATTCATTAGCGGCACGGAAGGAGGTTTCTCTGTAGGGCTCTTCAGAAGGCACAAGGCCGGGGACCACCAGCATGATCCCACGTGCAGGAATTTCCAACATCTGACCAGAGGCCTCCGCTTGTCTGGTTTGGATTTACATCAAGAGGCCAAAAACACAAGAACATTTAAATCATTAACTTACACGTGATTAAATGCCGTTCACCTCTTTCAGTAGCTGCATCACGCTGCGGTTCGGCGCGTGAGGTGGGAAATACCTCTCCCTGCACTGCATCTGTGTGTGTGCAGTAGGTATGCACCCATGGGCAGCGCTGGGAATGAAGCTGACCCTGACCACTGTGAAGCTGCTCTGACTCTACGGGGTTCCTCCTGCTGAGCAGAGAGCCAGACCCACAGCCTGCGTAGGTGCACCCATCGAAGTGCACCTGGAAAGCCATCCTGAAATCAGCAGGTTTGAAAAATCTACGTAGGATATAGGACGCTGCAGTAATAGATCTGTGGTGCAGGTCCTTTGTGGAATTGGAGCTGATGTGCACATGTCCTTCGTGTAGTTTCATGGGTCCTTGATGCTGTGGTCATCCCAATGAGCACAGACTGCTCTACTCAGCATCCACATCCAGAGGGGAGAAAACAGCTTTCCCCGAAGCTTCCTCTTGCTCAGTGGGGGAGGTCAGACTGGAACCATGACACAGCTCATCCCAACCCTAAAATCCTCCCGTCCCTTTCTGGGCCTAAAAGCTTCGCCCTCTGCTCAGCAAAGCTCTTGGCACAGCTCCTGTTGGCTTTAGTGGAGCAAAGTTAAAAAGTAGTGTGAATGCACTGAATGGATGAGGAGTTTCTTTTGACAGGAATGCGGGGTTGGACTCTAATTCAGGAGCAATGTTAATGCTTTACAATTTTTGCATAGTTTTTCAAGGTGCCATAGAAATATATAGGTATAAATGCGTGTCGTGTCTGTGTATCAAATTGCCATTCAGTTTTTTCCTTCTTC